CGGGGCCCCTAAAAAATTTAGAAAATTAATATTTATCTGCCCCTTGCTGCCTATCATGCGGCCCTCAATGGCTTGCCAAAACTCAGTAAGCAGCCCTCTGCCAAAAATAATTGCCTGCCCCTGCTTTAGTAGGTATTTGAGGGCCTAGCATCTTAGCCAATGCTGGGGGTTAAACAGGGAATGCTCACAGTGGGTGGGTCTACATGTGCAATTTATTTGACTGAATAAACTCTGGCAAAGTTCTTGCTGGAGTTTATGGCTCCTGGTTGCCACATTTACACGTGCGCTCGGGACTGCAGCATGTTGAGCTGGGGTGGAACAGTCCCGGCTGGCAGGGAGCCCCAGGGGACAGCCTGCCAGCCTGGGGCTGCTCTGACCCAGCTCAGTTTGCTGCAGAGAGGCTGGTGGGCACGAGGGTGCTCCAGCGGGGGGCTAGCCGGCAGGCAGCCTCATGCCCCAGCCAGCCCTGTCAGTGCCTACATGTGTGTTGCGGTGTACTAAATAATGCTGCCATAGGATAGTACTTGTGTTGACAAAAACACAAAACACACATTCATCAGTGCAAATCGGTATGGACTAGCTCATCTACTCTGGGGTGTTTGATTTGATAAGACTCACCAAAGTTTCGGAGCTGTTCAGCAACTCCATATTTACACCTGAGGAATCTTAGTCAGAGAGAAAAGAGGTGACTCACTCAAGGACACAGAGGGACCTGGTGTCTTAGCCACGGTTCAAGCCAATTCCTGCCTCTCTGGTCTCTGACCGTATGCTTAGGCCACACCTAGCACATCCTTACGGCTTTAATCTTTCTCCAATGATAAGTTAGTTTTGTTCTGCCTAATAAAGTTATTCAAAAGAAAAGGCTGTCCGTGAGTCATGGGAAGCTAGTACTTTGCTACTGTATTGTATGACTGTAAGTCCCACTAAGAGCTGTGGGAGGGATGCTTTTTGAAAGGAAAGAAAGAAATAAAAGAATTATGGATATAGGTTTGCATTTTCGAAGAGACCTAATAGGATTATGGTACAGCTCCTATTCACTTTTGCCCATCTCCCCTGGGCTTCTTTGCAAATCCTACCCATATATCATAAAAGGCCATGTTTGTGTTAGCAGCTTCGACCTTAGACTTAAAGAACCTGACACCCAGAACTTACATAATTACATTTGCTTTGAATCTACCTACTTCATTACAAAGCCAGCAAAGACCATCATCATTCTAAATTAGCAGCGTGCGCCAGTCAAAAGAAATTCAATCTGCTGTTTCTTGACTCAGTTTACCAGAGGCAACTTGACAACAAATCTGCTGCTGTATCCTCAGTGAGACAGATCTTCAGTGAACTTCTTGATGGCATGTGAGAAAAAGTTGTGCCTGTGTTTACTGCAGCACAAAATGGAGAATTCAGGCCTTAGTGTCACAAACCTGCTGAAAATTTGGGTTGTAATGTTAAGGTTTAAAACAGAGCTGGTCCCACCCCCACCCCACCCCCCCAAAAAAAGCTTAACTATATATTTTTAAAAAATCAAATTTCAACAAAGTAAATACCTGGTGAAGTCTCAAAGAGAATTTAAAAAATCCTTTCACTATTTCTTGTGGGGAGAGAAGGGGTTGTATCATATCTTGAATTTTCTATTAAAAAAAATGAGGAAAATTCAGAGTTTGGGTAGTGAGTCTTTCCTAAACATACTCCTTTGGACTAATCCCTAGGCATTTTATGTAATCAGTGCTAAACCAGTACAGGTACCAGTTTCTTTTCCCTGTTGTATCCCTTTGTATAAACAAAGGAGGAAGAAGGGCTGCATTGCAGTGAAGATGCATTAGAGACAGAAGATAATCTAGGTGTAGCCCAAAGTCTAAACGAATCCTTTGAATCAGGTTGCAACATTACTGGATACAAGAACCAAGGCAGGATGGCTATAAGGAATGAGGGTGTAGAAATGGCAATGACTACATTTAGGTTGGAAGCCAAACTCAAAGGGTGGCTGTACATGTGTCAGAGCAGACTCATTAACCAAGTCTGTTGGAGCATGTTAATTAGCACGCTCCAGCCAGCTTTTGCATCTCGTGTATCAGCATCCTGTGTTTCTCACTGACAGTGGGGGTGCTCAAACTAAGGCTCCTCAAATATGCTTTAGTTAAAGCACCCCCACCGTCATTTTGAAGCATGGGGATGCTGGTACGTGAGACACTGTGGGCACTTTAATTAGAGCTCTCTCAGAGGTGCTCTGATTAAAGTGCCCTGGAGCACACGTAAAAACTCCCAAATTGCTAAGTGTGTGTTAGTCAGGGGGAGTAGATAACCTCAGTCCCCTAGATCTGGAAGAAGAACTGGCATGTGAATGTAGTGGCCCAGTAACAAGGACTCTGTAATAAATCTTAAGGGCTGCACCCTACCATTGGTTGAAGAGCAAATGTAGCACCTCTTTGTAAGAAGGGAGAGGAAGGGAAACTGGTTGGAGTCCACTAGGCTGATATTAATAGTAGGCAGTTTTATAACACATTTTGAAAGAAAGAATAATCAAATGCATGGAGATAAATGGAAAATGGGATGAGTTAACTTAACATCTTGCTTTGAAAACATAGCCAGTTTTTCTAGGCAAATAAAATGAAGTGGATCTCATCCTGGGGCAGAATCAAGGGGGAGGCGCTGGTACAGTTGCACCCCCATTTGTTTTCTGCTCCATCCAAACTTTAAAACCAATTGCCTGGCAATGGCAGCAGCATTTCTATTCAGGCAGCAGTGAGAGAGTTGACTGACTTCATGGCTCATTATAATCTACCTGATTCCTTTTCAAATCTTAATTCCGCAAGTGTTAATGGCCCTCTCCTTTTTAATGGTCTCGATGTTCCACTAATCAAGTTAGCCTTTCTTCTGCATTAGCTGATCCTGGTAATGTAGCTCCTATTTCACAGCCTCGTAGACTTTTTTAACCTCTTCCAATTAAGTTATATATATATATATATATTTCTGCATCAATCTTAAAATGTATAATACAGCCTTAGGCTACTAGCGTATTAGTAAAGCTTCTAGTTTATTTTTACCTGCAGAAAAATGTGTTGTGTTATATGTGATGCATCTCACCATCTGCGCCCCCTTTTCAAAATCCTAGATCTGCCCATGATCTTATCTATCTGCACTTCAGCAAAGCATTTCATATGGGGCCTATAACAGGGTCATCTGTCCCTTTAGGGTAGAACAGCCAGCCATGTTAAGGAGGCTCTGCTGTAGGGAATTCAGGTAAAGAGGGAGTGTCTCACAAGGAGCTCTAAAAGTTCCCAGAAGAGAAAACAAGCAGTAAAAGGCAACGAGTTGGGAAGGGAGCAGCTTGCTGCAAGCAGAATCAGGCTGCTGTGCTGGAGCCAAAGCACCTGAGATGAGACGGAGGATTCGCTTTTGTTTTGTTCGGTCACTTAAAGACTGAACTTTGTTGCAGAGAATGGGCTAAACTCATAAGGGAACAAACTCTCCTGCAGAAGCCAGTGGGACAAAATGACCTGCTTACAGTGCCACATGGGGCGTTGACATATGCATGTGGCATCCCCTGCCCCCTGTGACCCACTCCCCCCAGCCCCAAACAGCCCCTCAAAGGCTGAAACTCTGGTGGCCTGCAAAGGGAAACCCACGGTTTCCTGCATTTTCTCCCTTTAAAGGAGAACATCTGCATTTTTCCACGTCAAACAGAAAACCCAGATCCCTGCTCATTAGACAGAAATAACAGAAAAGGAGAAAGACTTTAACTGGTCACAGGATGGCAATGATCAAGTTAGTGTGGCGGTGGACTAGGATGCATCAGAAAGGGTGTTTCTTCCCCAGCAGAGACAAGGAAGTATGAGTGCCCATGTACGAGGCACTGGCGAGGCACCTGGAATACCATGTACAAAACCGTTCACCCATGTTCAGGACAGATGAACTCAAACTGCAGCAGGTGCAGAGATCTTCCAGGATGATCAGAGGAATTGAGAGCTTGTCTTATCAGAGGAGACTAAAAGAGCTTGGCTTGTTTAGCAACACACAGACTGAGTGGGGAATATGATTCCTCTCTATAAAATAATGAGGGTAAACACAAGGAAGTGCGAAGGGCTATTTGAGATAAGGGGCAATGCTGACACAAGAATAAATGGATATAAACTAGCCGTGAATACATTTTAGATAGAAATGAGGCATCTAGCTGTCAGAGCAGCGACATTTCAGAACCACACCCCATTTGGAGAGGGGGTGAGGGTCAAAAAACCTAACTGATTTTAAGATGGTGCTTGAACATTTTATGAGCAGTTAAGAGTCAGTTGCCTGCAATAGTAGGAGCTGGACTCGGACCCAGGTATCCAGGTTGTAGTCATAAGTTTCTATGTGTTTCTATGAGCAACTCCCCTGGCTGGAGAGGCGTTGCATGGAGATAACTGAGGATAGAAGTTGGTTCTCAGATGAATGCAAGGCAGATGTCTAGCATGCTAAAAAATCTGCATTTTAGTACTTTGGTATTTAATTTGTTTTTAGTAAACAAGAGCCCATTTTACTAGGCATTGTACAACAGAGTCCCTGCCCTGCAGAGCTCACAGTCTGAGGTAGCTTTTTAATGTTTAAAATTGTTTTTTGGTATATCAGGATACTTTCCAAGCAGGTAAAATCTGCAACAGATTTAAATTCAAAATGTATCTCTAGTCCCTGCCTGATACACGAAACAGGAGTATAGACTCATATCAGAGACAATCAGGCCTGTGCTTTAGTTTCATTAGCCTACTTTATAAACATTTGTATTAAAAGTGGATACTTACTTAAATACCAAACTGTGCCTGGGTTGTAATCTGGTCCTCTGATATCACAGATCATTTGCAAACCACAAAGTCGCTTTGATCTTGCAGAATGTTCAACTAAACTTAAAAGGAAATTAAATGCAGAGCTCAATTTTTCATTAAGTTGTCGCCCACCGTTTTACAGTTATGACTCTTCAGATCTGTCTCTTCTAACAGGTGGACAAACAGAATGTTAATACCGTGGTATCTGTGGCATTATAAAACCTGCACGGAGAGGAGCTCTCCAGTTGTTACTGCTTCTTTATTACCATTTCTAAATATCAGCTTTCCAAAAGCCTCAGAGTCTCTTCAAACCCCAGTGAAATCAGGGATTAATGAAATTGGGGATAAATCAAACAATCTAAAAAGGGGTCTATGAAATTGCAGGTTTCTTTTACAAAAAGTCAGGTTTTATTTTGTAGTAAGAGAAGTGCATTATCTTACACTGGATATTTTGATACGAATTCTGACTATGAACCTAATACTGCGTCATTAAAAGTCACTCAAGACTGCTGCTGTTGACTTCCAGGATTGCACAGTCATGCCTATAAGAAGTCTGTCTTTTTGTCAGCCATAGAAGTGGATTGTGGGTCTTTGCCTCAACACTACCTAGGCTTCCCACCACATTTGTCTGAATGGCTGTGCTTAAAGAATGCATAAGAACAGCAAAAGTTGAAAGCTGTGAATGTGTAAGGCACTGACAAGTGTGTGATGTGATCCTCATCTCAACCTAACTTACAGAAAATAAAGGCCTATTAAGGTCTGTTGCAGTCCCATTTACAAGTCTTTTTTTTAAGGTCCCTACTGTGTTGGCCATCATGATGGGCTTTACAAATGTACTTACTAGGCTGACTATTATGGTCATATTCTGTTGCATCAGGCATGTTGGGAAGGCTGTCTAGGCCAAGGGAAGGGGAGGAAACTGCTAACTGATGTTTATTTTATCTGAATAGCACCCATAAGCCTTGACCTGGATCTGGGCCCCATTGTATTGGAGGCCATACAGCAGGGTTGTCAAACGTATGGCCTTCAGGCTGAATTTGGTCAGTGGAAGCATTTCATCTGGCCTGCTAATAGTTGGGGGGCATGGCCTGCTGCATAATTTGGGGTCCCATGATGCCCCTGCTGCTGCCTGAATGCAGCTCTGTGCTGCTGCCCAAACACAGCTCCATGTTGCTGCCTCAGTGCAGCTCACTACGGTTGCTTCTGGCCCCACGGATTTGGCCTGGGAGGAGCCATTACAGTCCAGACCTGGCCCTGGGGTGACTTTGACACCCCAGCTATACAGAATTAAAAGGGAGAGCCAATCTTTGTGAATGGCTTATAGTCCAAGGTCCTGACCCTGCAAACAACTATACATAGCATTTTTTTCCTCTTGAAGTCAATGGAAGCCTTCATTAATAGAAGTTACTAATAAGTGGGTGTTTAAACAACTGTGCCTGGAAAGAAATCAAACTCCATCTCTGGGATTATCATATCCTTGTTTATAGTAATGGGCTTTGCTCATAGTCAGGTTTTTTCTTGAGATTGTAGGAATTTGTTTCATTTTCTTTAGAGCTGGACAAGGCATATGTTTGGAAATCTGGTTCAGAAGGGTTTTAGGTGAATCTAAATCTAATTTCTAAAAACTTCCTTATTTTTCTGGTTTGGTGTGGTTTGGTTGCTCCTTTGGCTGATGGTGAGCTCATTATTTCTCTTTTCCTGATGCTTCCCCTCTCTCGTTAAATTTGTCCTCCCACGCTCTGTGCTAGAACTGGCTTCTATTTGTAATGTGCTTGGTTGCTTGAATTGCTAGAGCGTGGTGTTGGTGAAACCCAACGGTTCTTGTCCTGTCATCTTTAATATTATAAGTCCAGAGAAAGAGAGAACAGAAAGGATTTGTTGGAAACATCTGCACTTCTGTACCTCAGGGAAAAAATACACCAACAGGAATAGATGCTGTTTCCCAAAAGAAACCCAGAGAAGGCTCAGTAGTTACTGAGCAGGTGTTTTGTTATATTAAGAATACAATCCTACTAGGAACAAAAAAGCAAGCACAGCAACTTCCTCAAAATCAGGAAGGGAGAGAATAAACTCATCCCAACCATGACTAGTAGCCCTCTATCCTAACATACCTGGAAAAAGAGATGTTTTTGTAGCATGCCATGAAGGTCACTGGATCATGATGAAGGAGAGAGCAGCGTTCAAAGTTCAGGATCTATCATGAAGGACTTCCTGCCAGAATGGGATGATAAAGGATCGCATGAGAGGTCAGTCAAACTGGACTAGATGTGACTGAACCCAGGAGAAATGAGAAACATCAAGAATAATATGCACAAAGAGGCAGCAGCCAGAGGCACCTTTTCCATTTACTCCAATGTCACCTCAGCTGCTGCTTTCCTGCAGAAAATAATTGTCTGGCATTATTGTTCCCTGAGAGTGGGGAGCAATTCTTACTGATGCGCACCATGGGTTCTCTGGCCATCTGGCCTGCAAATCTTGTCTCAATGGTTCCAGTAACATTAGCAGGACATTAGTGAGCCTTATTGTTAGAAGGAAAGACTCTGAGTCCTAGACATAAGGAGGTATGAACCAATATCAAGCTCCCTTATAAGGTTCCAGTCATTGAAAGACTTTGCTGATGGCACTGGAAGAAGTGAAAAATAATTATAATTTGTTAGTGTTGTAATGTCTGGAGACTTATTTGTTTCACTGAGGCTCCATTGTGCCAGGTATTGTACATATTGTGACAGGATCAAGCCACAGAGGAGGCAGTGACGCTCCTTGGTGGCCATATCTCTACTGCCCGGCTCAGTCTCTAATGTAGCCCTTCCTTGATTACATGCCTGCCGCACCTTGTTCTTACTAGAGGTTGAATAAGGGAAGCTGCCTGCAGGCCTTAGAGTGAGCCTCAGTACATTCAAGTCACCACTGGGTCTCTGTCAGACCCCAAGAGTCTTATTTCAGCCCTTAAGCTCAGTGGGACCTCTTGGCCTGTCTGTGCCCCTCCACGGCACCCATAGTCTTATTAAGGGCTCATTGCGTGGCTCCATCCTTCCCTACACCATGTCCCATGACTTGCAGGTGTTAATCTCTCATGGATCTTTTGGCTGTGGTCCCTCCTGGGCCCTCACCCCACTCTCAGGCCAGCAATAAGACTTAGGGTTGCTATTGGTCCTTTTTCATACAGGACCATCCTGTTTTTAACCCTTTGTTCCCTGTCCATTTCTCAATGAGGATTGGACTACACAAAGTCCTGTTTTTCATTTCATTGATGGAAATACATGTCAATCACTTGTCTTCATAATTCTGTTGGCTGTGCCTAGAGCTGGGGCGGTGCACAAACAGGAGGACCAGGGTTCCCAGCCAGGGAAGGAGGGAGGTGGCCCCACTCCTCATTGCTGATTGGCCAAGGGCCCCAGCAGCCCCACCCCTCACCACTGAATGGACGAAGGTGCCCACCCCCCACCAAGGAGATGCCTCAATGGCCACCCTAATTGGACCCTTCTGGTCTCTCATCCTCTCAGCCCTGCTCTAGGTTCTTGGATCCTCCGATCAGATTCCCCCTCTCTGCAGCCTCAGGCTTGTGGATCCTACTCTCGGGCTACTGTACTCATGGCAGGCCCCACTCTTAGCTACTCTCGGGCTACTGGTACTCTGAGTAGTCCTAGAGCCTGAACTTAGCAAGGCTCAAGGCTGAACTCTGGGACAACTTTAATAAAACAAACAAACCCCAAAACCTGCACCCCTGACAAGCAGCCAGACTTCCTCTGGGTTTAACATAAAACCAAGGCCACCTGCCTATATAAATAAGCCCCTCTCTGCCCCAGGTACCCTCCCTTGTTCCCAGGTCTGCAGAGTTGCTTCCTCTATCTGTTCAGGTGCTCTGCTGCCAGAACCTCCTTACTTCTTGGCTCTCAGGACTGGACTGCCTGGCCAGCTGAAGCCTTGGGCTTATATAACTCCAGCCCTGCCCTCTGCTGGTCAGATAACTCTCCAATCAGCCCCCTCACCACCTGCAAGCTACCACTCATGCTGCTTGCCCTCTTAAAGGAGCAGGCACACTCCATTGCCCTTCTACATATGCATATAATAAAGAGACCATCCCTGCACAAAAGAGCTTGCAAGTCAAAGTAAAACAACAGATGGAAATAAATAGGGAAGGAAAAGCAGAAGATACAAGTAAAACAGCCAGGTCCAAAATACTCTGGCTTCTTGACCTCTACATCCCTCTTCTTGTGTCTTAGGTACTGAATGCAGACAAAGAGCTTGCTATAAGGTGGCAATACAGTCAACAAATGTTTTTTTTCTTTATAGTTGGTCTCCATTAGTCTTATAATGTTAATTAGGTCTCCCGGGAAGCAGGATGTTCTTTTAGGACAGCCTTTTGCTGAGAGACAGAGTATAGGCTGGAGAGAAGATGAAGATCGTTCTTCAGAAACAGAAGGCCAAAAATCCTCTTTGATAATTGGCTGGTCTGGTTTACTTACAGATTGACCTGGATAATACCCATCTGTCTGGGTGGGAAATCCCTTCCTTAGGAAATGCAAGAGTCCTGCTCTTAATTCCTGCTTTGTAGACTCAGCCTTTTTTAAAGTTTGAGAAATGATAGTTCCCCACAAGCTGGATCCTGCCCTCTGCCAGTGTATTGTTAAGGGTTCCCTGGGGCACTGAGCACTGCCTTGCACCGGTGTCATGGTTGAGAAGAAATGCTTAACTTGAAATAGGTAACTAGCAACACTAAGGAGTTTGGCTCTTCTAGTCTGAGGATGGGGGCAGCAGAGTTATATATACTGATGCCATGCTCTTTCTTATGCATTTCTATCCATATGCTTCTTGGCCTGTAATATCACTGCTCACTCCCTTCAGAAAGGACACCACCAGATGCACCATGCTGTATGGTAGTTTTTGTCCTTAAGAAAAAAAAACTCAAGGGACTAATTTACACGTTTGCAAGTGACTTGACTCAAACTTCATCTGGTGTCCCCAGACTTAGAAGGAAAAGTACATCAGTCCTTTTGTACCTGACAGCTTGCAAAGAAGATTTTTTCCAACTATTTTAGTTGGTCTAATAAAAGATATCAGATTTACCCAAAGAACCTTGTCTGCCTACATCCTTAGACCAACACGGCTACAGCCAACACCCCCTTAGCCCTCACCTCCAAATAAAATGTTATTAGGTTTCATTAGCTTATAATTCCTTTTTGATTAAAAATGATAAATCATTTTATGTTTGATGTTAACCCCACAAATGCATAGCATGTGTCAAACAGAGTGATATGTAGACAGCCCTTGGGCACATGCACAGAAGAGCATACCCTGCCGCTTCCATTGCTTGACAGAAAATAATGGGTCTGATCAAAGGAGAGTGGCCCTCTCTCCACTGGGGGACATGGCCTTCAAGAGGTTAAACCTTAGAGATGCGGCATGCTAAGATGTTGTCTTTGATTTATTGTTCCTCTTTTCTTCTTGTTTCTCCTTGAAACATAAAAGCCGGCAGCCCACAGACTCTTGACATTTCTTTTGAATTCTCTTGTCATTCAGAAACTGCCATGATCATCTTCATCAAGTTTGCATTTAGCTTTCCTGGGCTGTTTGGGGTTGCCCTCCCATGATTAGAGGGAAATCTGAACAATATTTAAAGAGCTCAGTCTTGCAAGCTGCTGAGCATTGTAGTCCCAAGCCAGCAAAGCATTCATTTAAGCATAAGCTTAACTCTGGCTGAACCCAGTTAAAAAAAAATGTTTAAATAGCTATTAGCTAAGTGAAACTCTGAATATGACTGCAAAAGATAATCTTTCACTCAGGCAAAGGAAAGTGACATTGGGTGGGATTTTTAAAGCACCTTTGTAACTTAAGACCACAGATACCTTTGACTTTTTCACTGGGACTTTTGCTTAAAATTAAACATGTTTTAAATCCAGTCTTTTGGGCTTTGTGATGTCCCCTAGAGCCTGATGTTCTATCTGGAAATGCAGAGCTGGTTTTTGCAACTCAGGCTGAACATAGCAGTTCAGTCTTATTATCTCCACAGTAGACAGTCTCTAAAGTGTGTGGCTGGGGAAGAAGTAAGATGAGGCAGGAGGGCCTCCAAAAGCAGTAATTCTTGAAAAAACAAAGCCATTTTAACTGGAAGTTGAGGCGATGGCATCTTTTAGTTGTCTTGAATGGAAAATAAAGGAAGTCTGGGAAAGGAAGTGAGTTTTAGACACTCTGATTTTGTGTCTGTGCTTTGTTGAAACCAGGTGGGAGCTCTACCTCTCTACAACACACAAAACTGGTTTTTAACTCTTAGTTTCAAACATGGAAACAGGCAGGCATCTGGGAGGCACACAGAACAGCACGGGAATAGCAGAAGAACCTTCTTGGATATAACATGAGGACAATGCTGTCAGGCCACAGCCTCGAGCAGCTTTGCTGTTCCCTCTACTTTACTTTGTGCTCTCTGACTTCGCTCTCTCCTGACTTCTCAGCCCAGCTTGCTCTCTGACTCAGCTCTCTCCTGATTTCCCAGCCTCTTGACTCGGCTTGCTCCTAGACTCCACTCTGACTGCACTCCTGACTTCCTGGCTTGGATTCTGCTTGCACCTCCTCACCCCAGTTGGCACCTTGATTCCCCAAGAGGACCTTGTTGCCCACTCCTTGTTGGCATGACAGTTTGCCTGGACCCCCAGTTTGGAGCAGAGAGTCCAGCATGGAGTTCAGTGCCCTGCTGGGACCCTCAGACCTGCCCACCTTGGATGCCAGTTCTGGCGTGGTGAGGCACACAGGCTACAAGGGGAGACCATGGTGCTCCATGCCCCTCTCCTGCTACCTGAAAGAGATCACGGGGACCGGCAGTTCCTTATCCAGTGCTGCCTTTACTTCCTAGCCCAGCCCAGAACCTACTTTAGGGATCAGGCTAAGGTGATCCTCATCATAAACCTCCTGGTGAGGAAGCCCTGAATTGGGCATCCGTGCTGGCAGAACATGATAGCCCCGTGGTTCTGAACTGGGAGGCGTTCCTTCGGAGATTCCCCACCATGTTTGATGACCTTCACTGGTCTCAGACAGCAGAAGATGCATTCAGAAAACTTTGCTAAGGCAGGGCACTGTTGCCATGTGTGCATCCCTTTTTTGCTGTTATGCAGCAGATACCCCCTGGAATGAAACCGCAGAAATCTACCTATTTCTGTGGGGTCTGTAAGAAGAAGTAAAAGACTAACTGGCTCTGGTGGAACTGCTCTCAGGAGTCGATACCCTCACAGACCCAGCAGTCTGAGCTGACTGTTGTCTTCAGGAATGGAGGGAGGAAAAAAGGTGGGGACCACTCCCACTGCACACAGGTCAATGGGGAGTGCTGCTGCCTTACCCCAGATGAATGGAAAACTGAATGCCAGCGGTCCCTAACCTGCCTTGTACAGGACCAACGAGCCCATCTTGCTTGGCTAAATTCTGAAAGTTCACACAATAGGAAACATTTCTGGCCTCCCTTGTACCACAATGGATGAAGAACTGAATATTTATTGTAGTTTAAACATAGGCATTTCTAAGCTGCATGGTGCTTTGGGCAACAATGGCTTTGCCAGAAAAAAAAAGACATGAGCAGAATTGGGAACCCTACGTCATTACCTTGCTGTTCTTCTGTAACAATGTCTATCAGTAGAATTCACTATCCCTACCAGTAGAAATGTAGGATGTGATTTACCCAGTTTGGTCTATGTCCACTGAAGCCAATGGACTCACTCTTGATATAGAGTGGCTGAAGTGTTAAAGACCCAGTTCTGCTTATTTTTAAATGATATACAGATGCTGAAATTTGTAAGGCCTGATAGTTTTTAACACTGAGGCCCCTTTACATCAGTGGCCAGCAACATTTTAATAAGCTGTGAGACAGAACAAACTGGCTCTGGTCCAACATGGGCTGAGTGGTTTTGGTGGCAGGTCAGTAATTGGGGGGGGTGTGCATGTGTGTGTGTGGGGGTGTTTCCCTGCACCTGTGCCAAGGCAGACATTTGGGAGTGCGCCCTTAACACCATCACACTTTGTTTCCAGCTGATGTGCGGCTACACTGGGTCTGGGGGGCTGCAAACAGCATCTCCATGCTACTGTTACTTCCCTCCCCGCTCCTGCCCACTTCCTAGGTGCAATGCAGGCACACCTGGAAGCTGCACAGCTGCAACACAGCTCCTGACTGCCCAGACCTGGCCCTGGGCCCAGCACAGGCACAGACAGGAGCTGTTTGGGGGCAGAGCAGCTTGAGCTGTGCTTTCACTGCTGCTTCTTCCTGTTCCACTGTCTCCTGGGCTGCAGCATGGACACAGCTTCCAACCCACAAGGAGCTACACCCTTGCTGTAGCTGGGAGGCTGGTGGAAAGGGGAAGTGGAGAGAAGCAAAGGCATCATGGACACAGTTTGCAGCTTCCCAGTTCCAGGCACCAACACCCCTCACTCCCCCAATGCAGCCAGGGAGCAAAGGAGCTGGGAGAAGTGGTGGCAGTGCAATCTTAGACAAAAACTTCCAGCTTAATCACCCAGATCCAGTGGCTCAGTGGGCCACATCCAGCTCATGGATTATATGTTGCTGATCCCTGCTTTAAACGATTGCAGCAGTGAAAAGTGACTTTAAAATGGATGGAAGGTCTAAGCAATTTAAGGGCAGAAAGGATCTTCTATTCTAGACTGACCTCCTGTGTAACATAGGCCATAGTTTCACCAATTACTCCAACATTTTGCTAATTAAGGATGAAGCAACACATTAGATTTGGACCATACTAGGTCTGTGGAGTGGTAGGTGGTGTTGAAGTTAGAACGTGCTGGGAGCAGTCGCACGTTAAAGGTTAATACCATGTATTGCCTGCACTGCTCGGTCTTGCCATTAGAGGGCTGGTGAGCAGGGGTGTGACTAGGGACCAGAACATCTGGGCTCAGTCCCAGTTTGGGTGCCAGCAGGAGAGGGAAGCTGGGAACAGTGCATCCTGGGATGGTGGGAGGACTAAAATTTGGTTGTTTTATCTCTGTGGAGCAGACTGAACAGGAACAAAGTAGCACAGCCCAGCATTAGCCTTCACCTGATGTGTCATAACTTTGAGACACTCAGAGAGCACTTAGCACAAGTTAATGAGATTTAACATGTGGACGTTCATGTTTTAGGTGCCCTTAGTGTGGTCTAAGTGTAACATGCAACTTTACCCTAACTTGTTTAACTAAAATCTTTAACTAATTCAAAGAGGTAAAAAGACTTTGTGGAAATGACTCAGAGCCACAGTATGAGTACTGGATGGAATGGGATGGTCTTGAATTTCTATGCTGTGGAGTTTACGCATGGTCAAAAAATGCTATCTTCGTCACAGGCCTCATCCTGGGAGCTGCTGAGTGCTCTGAGTTCCCTGTGACTACAACAGGAGTTAAGGGTGTTCAGCACCTCTTCACATGGCACCTGATCCTAGAGCTGTGTGTAGATGTAAAGATGCTATTTTCTTTCAACAATCCTATTGAAGGTAACGCCAGGCAGTAAACTGAAAGATGCATTTGGCATGCGGTATATAGAAAAGTCAATTATGTGTAATTAATGTTGGCTAAATGCTTTGAAAATGCTTTAGAAAGGCATGATTAAGATTTCTTCTGTTTAGATAATTCTCTCTCATGTTTAAAAAAAAGCATATATCGGTGCACTTCAGCTTTTTCATGTCTAACTTTGAGCACAAATGATCCCCTGTTTAGCCATTTTCTGTAAAACTATGGGGAAGGTCTTCAGTGGAGCTGAACTTGCCCTTACAAAACTGCAAGATCCCTTGAAGTGTCTTAAAGACCAAATACAGCTACAGCCTGGATACCTGACACCTTAAAGATCCCTTGCTGTTCAGAAAGGCTTGAGGTTCCCTTCCAGCAAACCATTTTGTAAGTGTGCTCCTGATACGAGTTCTTAGTTTATGTGAGCGCAGTGCAGCGTAACTTGTATAATCCGCTACAGATTTATTATATGTATTCAGTAGCTAGTTTTGTAAGATACATAGTAATTCATGTTCATTTACAAGCTCTTAAACTCTCACTCTCGGTAGGACAGATTACAAACTACTGAAGTGAATGGGGGTTTTGCTATTGACTTCAGTGACAGCACGAGCGGGTTCGAGATACGGGTAACATTTACACTTTTTTGTGTGTGCTTTTATCACTCAAAAATAAGCAGTCATCTACTGGAAGACTTGCAGCCAATTGTCTCTGACTGCCATCTTTTACTTTTCATTGTGAATGAGAGATTTCACTGGAAACGACAGAAAACAAGGAAGGCTTTTCACACTGAACAAGACACTCAGCGAAACTCATAAGGTTGCACACAGGTTGTTTGTGATCACCGTGCTCTGCAAATAAAAGTAGATGTATTTGTCTGCTGAAATTGTTCCAAGACTCTCATGGCAGCTGGAAGTCAGGGAAAAGATAAACTGATGACAGATATAATGAAAGCCTTCCATTTTATTTGCTTGCCTAAAAGAGTTGTATTCTTCAAGGGCTCCTGTATCATCTACTGCAGGCAAATTCTCCAGATGTTCATCCAGAACCTCTTGAAGAGTAACACAGTAACTCAATTGTCTTTTGACAACACACAAATGGACTACTTAATGCTTTAAAAATGTATCACTCATTTTACCTTAAAAGAGATACACAAAGAGTTTACTAGTCTATGGGGGGTAAAAAGATGCCTTAGTCAGGCTCTTTTTCAGCTTACAGCAGAAGTACATGAATATTGTGACAGTTATCCACAGATGCTGCTCTCATTGCTGAAAGCTGTGATCACTTCTTTTACCAGTTGTGTTGGGTTGGTATTATTCACAGTCTGATTGGGACACCTCTGTTGAAAGCCTATACTACAGTCTTCTCAGGGCGGGGGAGCTATGTTTTTAATTCCCTTCCCAACCTGCCCCACAGAAACCCTTCATTTTTACTTACATTTTATCTGTCTCCCCCACCTGCAGTATTTTAGGTCCTGCTTCATCTTGCACCAGGAGCCAAATACTGAAATAAGTATACAGAGCCTGTTTCTCCAACCTGCACTTTCCCACTTGCAAGGTGGCAGTTCCTATGGGCCCCCTTGCTATCCCACTTCCACTGGAGGGCTCTAGCCCACAAGCTGGATTAAAATATCATTGGCAATTCAGTGGTAGCACTTGAGCCTAAAAGGGCACCTCTTCACTTAAAGGCCTCTCACCTGGTTAGCTAAGATATGGTAAAATCCTAAGAAAGATTTTAGGACAGTTGGTAGCTTTCACATATGGCAGCAGGCCCAAGTAAAGACTGGGATTTACTCCTGTCTACTACTACAGGCTTAGGGGAAAATAGGACTGGAAAGGACCTCAGAAGATCACCTGGTAAAAGCCCACTGCTTCAAGCAGGCTTATCCCTGACTAAACTATTCTAATCATGTGTCTATCTAACCTACAGTTGAATATGTATGGGGATGTGGAGTCCATAACTTCTTTGGTAGCCTGGTCCAGTGCTTGACCAGAAAGTCAGCAAGTTCTTTCTAATCTCCAACTTACATTTCCCCTGCTGCACTTTGAGGCCTTTGCTCCTAGTCCTGTTCCCTACAGCCAAAGAGAAAAGGCTATCTGCATCCTCCTTACAACTGCCATTCAGATGTATGAAAAAAATTATCAAATCCCCCTCAGTCTTCTCTTCGCCAGACTAAATAATCCTGGTTTTGTCAGCCTTTTCTTGTAAATCATGCTTCCCAGGCCTACCACCATTTGCCACTCTCCACTGGACTCTTTCCAAATTGTGCACAGCCTTTTTGAAATATGGGCCCCAAAACTGAACGCAGTACTCCAGGTGAGGTCTCGTCAGTGCTGAACAGAGCAGAAAAATCACTTGCCTTGATTTGCAAGAGATATTCCTGTTAGTACAAACTGGTATGCTGCTGGCCCTGCTAACCTGAAAACATTTAGCTTCTCCAAGTAATCCCTAATCTCTTTTCCCACTAATTTCAGCTCTTTGTCTCTTTCCCAAACTTTGCTACGCATTGCACTTGTGATCTAATAGCTGAACTTACTCATGAAGACTGAAGTAAAAAAGGCATTATATATTGTACCCTTTTTTGCATCATTCATAACTAGGTTGCCTTCTGTATTTAGTAAGGGACCTACACTTTCCTTGGCCTTCCTCTTACTCCTTTTTAGAATCCCTTTTTATTGCCTTTTATGTCCCTTGTGTAGGACACGCATTGGTGCCAGCCCAGTACATCCACCTTTACAGGCCTGCTCTTACTAGTGCCCTCTGTCCTCTCTCCCTTTTTTCCTGCCATGTCTTGATATAATAACTAAATAGGGGAGTCTGTCCAGAGAGCAAGGGGGGCTTAAGCGGTCCCTTGTCAGGTCTGTGGCTTCCCCTGGGCTTGTCCAACTTTTACTCTAGTTAATCCTTCTAGTTTGGGGCCCATGGTTCAAAGCCAGAAGTTTCTGACTCCGCTTTGGGCATGCCTTTGTGACCTCAAGTTCCAGGCCTACCCCAAATATGCAAGTAGGGCCACAGGTCCTATCTCCCTTGTTATGCTCCTGCCTTACCATCCTGGGCAGGCTTTGCCCCTCTTAGGCTCAGACCGTACCCCAGTCTTTATCTTTTGTCTTCTTAACTGAATCTCCAGTTTGGGGTGCCCCCAGTTACCCCTTTCAGTGGCCTCTGCCTCCCCTACAGCTACAACCCAGTCCTCCAGGGACAATGAAAACACCAAACTCAAGCTCCAGTCTCAACTCAAAGACATGTCCCACATGGAGTTAACCTCACCCCTTGGTGGTGTGCTTCAAGTAACAGGAAAACAGAAAAGGCTGAGGGTACTTAGCTTACTCCCAGCATGGGTCCTCCGGTTTCCTTCATGCCAGCTCTCCTTCGGAGTCCTCTCTTCACAGCCTGGGGTTTAGCCTCCGCATCCCTCCATCAGGGCTCTGTACTTGACAGCTGCTACAGCAGGCCTGGCCCTCTCAGCTGGAGGCTTAAGCTTGTATGGGGCATTCTGGGCCTGACTCTTCACTTCCGTGCCCTGGGTCATCAGGCACTGACTGCACCTGGACCCATAGATTCATAGATTCATAGAAGTAGGGTCAGAAGGGACCTTGTAAATCATCAGCTGGAGTACTGCGTCCAGTTCTGTGCGCCCCATTTCAGGAGGGATGTGGACAACATTGAAAAGAAAGGGTCCAGAGGAGGCCACCTGCATGATCCGGGGACTACAGGGCAGACCCTACATTGAAAGGCTGTGGGACCTAAACCTGTTCAGCCTTCACAAGAGAAGGCTGAGGGGGGACCTGGTGACTGTCTATAAACTCACTAGGGGAGACCAGAAGGGTTTAGGGGAGACACCGTTTCCCCTAGCACCCCCTGGCATGACAAGGAAAATGGCCACAAGTTGTTGGAGAGTAGGTTTAGATTAGACATCTGCAAGAACTACTTCACAGTTAGGGCGGCTAGGAGCTGGAACCAACTTCCAAGGGAAGTGGTGCTGGCTCCTACCCTGGGGGTCTCTAAGAAGAGGCTTGATGACTACCTGGCTGGACTCATTCAAGTCCAGTCTTTTCTCCCGCCCAGGCGGGGGGTCAGAGCTGAAGATCTACA